AGCTACTTATAGGTAGTTACTAACCTATATTGTAGTTACTCATGAAGGTGACAAGTTATTCCATTATATCATTATCAATCATGTGTTGAATTATATGGTACTTTACAGATAGAATGAAGTGTTTAGGTGTTGGGTGGCTGAAGAGTATTCTACTATAACCAACAGTAATCCTGCAAAATCCTTGAACCAGCACCCTATGGATTAGTGATGTACACAAGCTGCTTTGTGAGCAACTTCTTTAAAAGCAATGGATGCTATCTACACCTCTGACAGAAAACAAAGGTATGACATTAGCTATATGAGGACATTATTGACACTTGCCTAAGTTAACTAGCATCATATGGGTGATAGTTTAAAATGTGAAAGGTATTTCTACCACACCCTGTATTAGATAAAATATTAATCCTTTTCTTTTATTATGGCAATATATTTTATGCTTTTCTTCTCTTCTTGTTTCTTTTGTAATAGACAAGCATATGGTTGCAAGAAAGAAATACGACAACAGCAGAAATAGATTTACGTAATTTATTTCAATAGGAACATGTGGGTTTGGGACAGCTACCTTATGGTATAGTTCATAAGCCGGCTCCCGGTCTGGGTTGATCTCTCATAATAGTTCACACTAGTTAATGTGGCGCTCCTCCTGCTGACTTCTGCTGACATCCCGTGACAGGTCTCTTCCCTGGCCTCCTGTTGACTGCTGTTGTACTTCTCCGTGTGACCCTTTTTATGACGTCTTTTTATGGCTTAACAGGCTCAAAAAATGACGCAAGTATAATTAGGAGGGAAGCATTTTTATTAGTCGAAAAATAGAAACACTTTAAAATATTATTTTATTTTTCAACCAGAACTCATGCATTGGGCTTATGCGTAGACGACGATAATGGTCATTTTGTGACAGGGCCTTGTCCCATTCACATCCGGCTCTCGCTCTTGAGTATGTTAGTTTATTTGCCAGCAAATCAGCCAAGATATATCTTATTTTATTTTATAACACCTGCCAAATTTTTTAAAAAGTGGTTCTGAGTCAATGGTGATGTAATGGTCATTGGTAACTAGTGTCACAAGAATGAGGTATCTTTTTATTTCCTGTGTTAGATAAGATCTTATTTTAATGTCTCAGTATATTTAAAAGTATAGAATAACTGGCCATAGTTAAATTGGCAGAAATACCCAGCAAACAAAATTCCCAAATTTTTCAATAAACAACAACAAAAGAAAGAAAAAAACAGGGTAAAAATTGCACAAAGAAAACAATATATGCAATACAAAAATAGGCAAAACAAAAGTTCACACGCTAAGAATGGTGTTAACACACAAAAGAGATACAAACAAGTGATCCCAGTTTTCTGACTTCGAAACAAAAAAAGACAGAAATATGATGTATATGGTGGAAGAATTCCCAGCATGCACTATAAGTTTTGTCAATAAATTTGGGGAGGAAGATGTTTTTGCTGATCAGTACCAACAAATAGTAAGATGTAAATGTTCAAATTTGGCACATACCATGTAACATTACATTATTTTTATTATCCCTTTTTTGGCCCATTTCAAGGGGATCTTTTCAAATACCTGGATCATCCTGTATAAAATTATAATACTAATAACATAATGGAGTCATAGATTGTATACATGAAATAAGCTTTGAATTAAACATTGGTAAAAAAAATGAAAATATTTTTGATACACTCTAATGTTTAATAATAATATTAATAACCTTATGGAATCATAGGTTTTAAGTATGTGCATGAAATAATCTTTGGAGTAAAAATCTGTAAAATACAAGTATACAAGGATTACTTGAAAAGTAACACCATTTATTTTATTATTTTGGCCCATGAGGTTAAAGAACCAGAGTTGGTTTGGCAATAGAAGTTGAACCTTCCTGTAAATAACCCATGTTTTTTTGCCATTTACAACCACTCTGTATGACATGAAAGTGCATAAAAAGCAAAGATGCATCATTAAATTATTCCATGTAGAAAAAATTTGCATACATTCATCAATGGTTGTTAAACATTTATGGATACCAAACAGTGGTTGAGAGCACAGTTAGGCAATGAGTAATGGATTTCAGCAGTGGAGACAACTGTGTGTGTACTAAGCCACATTCTGAGTGGTCCTCCATAGCTGTTATCCTATGAAAAGATATGTACCTTGAAAATGTTTAATGAACTGTGGTGATGATGTGTAAAAATAATGTTTTGCAACTGTAAAACTTGCTCAATTTAATGCTTTTGTTGTGCTTCCTGTATCTGTTGCACTTTTCTAGAAATAAATTGGCAGCCATTACGTTCAGAACATCCTCATACTTTCGATGCTGTCTCTTGATATTTATAAGACAATGAAAAATACTCTAAATCTACAGGATAATCATTCTACTACCAGAAATTATGGTGTACAAGTTGACCTCAAGATTTTTAGCTTAAAATTCTAAATTAGACCTATACCTACTGTATAGGTTGACCCACAAATATACAGTAGGCTACTAGTGGCCCAAAACTTAGGTTTGCTGGTAAATTAAATATATTGTATATTCGATAAACTGTCATTATGTGTCATTAAGCTGTCATTACTATCATGAAATTGTGCAGATGACACACATTTCATACCTAATTTTCTGAATGGCCACCTTAGTTAAAGAACACTTCAGTCAGAGCTTGCACTTCATGTATCAGCTGTTGGACATGATGCATGCTGCAACATTAAAAGAATACTGAATTTGTTTTACTATTTTATTATTTTAACTTTTTTTAATCATTTCACCCCCTAGCAAGGCAAGAATGCCACTAGTAAGCAGGGAGTTACAGAGAGTGAAAGTGAGTGAAAAGACTGAGTAGGGGGGGTGAGGAAAGGATAAAAGACAAATGGGATTCAAAAAGACAGAAGATGGCGATTGATGTTGCAGTTAAATTTTTGAAGACTGTAGTTTTCAGAGAAGCAAGTAAATGGAAGGGAGTTTCACAGGTGGCAATTGAGAAAAAAAAACTGTTGGAGTAGAAGCGGCAGTTACATTTGACTATTTCAACAGTAAAAGGGTGGGACCTAGATGCCAATCTAGTAGCATTCATGTAGTTGGAACATCGGGGGAAAAAGCTTGTCAGAGCAGTTACCATGAAAATATTTGTAGAAGAGACAGAGGGAAGCCATGTCATGTTGGTATGAAAGTGACTGGAGTTGAGATGCCAAGTCAAGAACAATTTCATTGCAGATCCTTCTTTGGATTTTATCAAGAACCTTGAGATGAATAACAGGAGCACCAGACCAAATATAGCAACAATATTCAATGCATGGATGAATGATAGATTTGTAAATGTGCGAGATAGACGAGAAAAACCTTCTGGCACAACACAGTGACCCAACTTTCCTTGCAGTAGATGCAGCTATTGATTCAATGTAGTTGTTCCACTTCAAGTCAATTGAAAACATGAAGCCAAGAAGATGCAGTATCGTTTCTCAGGAGTCTTGCATCAGCCATGCTGATGGCAGGCAGGAAATTTTCTCTACGGTAGTTAAATGAGAGCAGTTTAGTTTTGGAGGCATTAAAATTTACAAGCCATTTCCTGCCCCAGTTAACCACTGATTGAAGGTTCTTTTCAAGAGCAATGTCCAGGTTAACTTTGTCAGCTCTGATGGATTTGCTATTAAGACAGGAGTAAATGGTAGTGTCATCCGCATAAATACCTACTTCGGAACTGATGACATCAGAAAGATCATATTAATTTTTGTGTTAATACGGCAAATCTGTTCACCAAACACAAGTTTTATCTAGTGGGATATATTTTTGGCAGCCTACTGGGTGTAGGATAAGTGGTGTACAGTAATTGTTAAGAGTGTTGTCCCATATTTTTACAACATGGTGGCAAAGGTTTGCATTTTATATCAACCATATAAGTCAACACCTATTTTTGGAAAGATTTTTAAGGCTTGAAAACTTGACTTGTATGAGACAATTTATGGTAATTCTAATAATTCTATTTGTTAATAAGCTGATAACTGGATTTTCTGATTGCAATTTTGATTCTTTATAGATTTATTGAATTCTAAATTTTAACAACTATTTTAAGAATTGTGGGAGATTGTTTAAGCCTTTCTTCCTCATGAGTTAGAAGCATGAGGGTGAGGGAAATAGATATATGTCTCTTTTATTACAACAGTCCTCTTTATTCTTTTATTAAAGTGAAAAAGAAAAGAAAACAGCAAAAATAAACATATATTTTTTTATTACTTCTGTCTTATTTAGAGCTTGAAAAAGTATGTCAATAAAATTATGTGGGTCAGCAATTATAAGTAACAGGAAACATGAGTAAGATTAGAGAGAATTAATGAGAGTGATTGATGAAAGCAATCCAGATGGACAAGGCAGGTTGAAAAATTGTTGGTCCTGGTTGGGCGGGGGGGTTGCAGATGGAGCAAGCAAAACAAAAATTGGAGAAAGAGAAAAAAATTAGAGAGAAAGATGAAGAAAGGAAAAGAGAAAGAGGAAAAAAAGACAGTGTAACAATAAAAGGCTCAACATAAGTATGAAATAAAAGAAGACAAACAAAAGAAAAGGACCCAGAAAACTAATCCCTCCACAATTGCCTTGATCTATCCGCTATACTTCTCATCCTTTCCTCTACCACTTCTATCTGATCTTGCTCCAATTCTTCTATAACCCCTTGCGTCCTAGTGGCTTCTTGCCTTGCTTGGGGTGAAACGCTTAAAAGAAAAAAAAAATCATCTTCCAACAAACATTATGTTCAATGGTTAGATTCAGTAATCATAAAGGTCACAACTACTAAAGGTTACAGAATCTCATTTTTAGAGATGGTATCTCCTTGCCATTGACAGAGACATTCCTCTACCAAGTAGGTATAAGATGTGATCAGAAACAACAGTTTGCTATTGCATACAGCACTATATTTTACCATTCCACTAAATTTCAAACACATAATGTTTACTCCCCTATTGCTTGCAGAGTCTGATTTCCTCCTAGTGAGCCATCATCTAAGAATTGATCAGGCTTGGCTGCTTAATTTTGATGATTTAACAAGAACAGGTATTTGATAGGGATTTGACAATAAACTAATAAATATGCAGAAATATTTCAGTGAAGCTTTCAAATAAGTCAAAAAAGAGAAAGAAAGAATGAATAGAAAAGAAAAAGAGAAATGAGAGAAAAAGTGAGAAAATGTGTAGAAAAAGAAAAAATGAGGAGAAAATTGAAGGAATAAGTAGAAAAGAGAAAGAGTAGTGAAGTAAAAATGAGAGGTAATGTATAGAAAAGAGAAATGAGGAAAAAAAGTGAGGGAATGTGTAGAAAAGAGGTAAAGAAGTGAGAGAAAAAGTGAGGGAATGTGTAGAAAAGAGGTAAAGAAGTGAGAGAAAAAGTGAGGCAATGTGTACAAATGAGAAAGAGAAGTGAAGGAATAATGTAAGGAAATGTGTAGAAAAGAGAAAAAGAAATCAGGAGTAAAAAAAAATAACGTAAGAAAGTAAAAGAAAGAAACAAAGAAAAAAATGGTGGGAAAATGTTTTCTTGAATGGCAGGGGATGAGGGAAAATACAGTAATGGATAAAATTAGTGAGGATGAAGAGAAAAGGAGAAAGAACAGAAAATCAGTAAAAAGGGTGTTGAAAATCAATCAAGAGAAACAGATTCCAAGAGAAGAAGAGAGATGAAGAGAGAGAGAGAGAGAGAGAGAGAGAGAGAATCCGCAAGATTAAGAGTGAGGGTGGTAAACACACATTAGGTAAAAAAAAAGTAAAAATGTTATCTAAAAAAAAACAGATTGAATATGATAATAAATAATGAACAAAGCATAAATGAAATAAAGCTTCTGAAATTTTGAAATGAGATCATCATTCCAAGCATTGTTCTGAAAGTTAATCTTATTTTATCTTGTTATAATACTCAATGATCTGACTGGTCAGTTTTTATGTTTTACATTTCTTTGGATGTAGAATCCATGGATAAACAAAAGAAGTGTCCTTCTTTTTGAGGGGAGGAAGTGTAGGGAACTTTAAAGTTAATCAAAAACTGCTCACCAAGAGTTTAGTATGATCAGTTGATAAGATCAGTATGTAGTATATCACTTACCCAGATGTTGCCATAACAGTCTTTACACTCAGTGTTATGCCAAGGTTTCACAGAAGCTAGGTATATCAGTGATTTGATTTAAAAAATAACCTCCTAGCCACCAGGTACATATCTGCACCTCACTCAATGTCAATAAACATATGGTGACTCAGTTGTGCCTAGGATGTACATGCATGGGAAAACTATATGCCAAGTTGATATAAAGGGTGTTACCAATAACTTGGACCAATTTTAAATGTGAATTAAGTTTAAGTGTCTAATGATTTTTTTTCTTTTTCTTTCACATTTAACAACTTAATTCTTTGGCAATTTCAACCATGGAAATATTAACAATCAAACAACACGTTAAAATTTCAAGAGTGCAATTGGAAAAATTTGTTCGTAAATTCAAACAAACTGGTTCGGTGGCAGATTTGAAAACACCATTGTGTACTTGTTTATGCCATTCAGCTGAAAACATTTCTGCAGTGCACAAGAATTTGGCAAAAAATTCAGGCACCTCTATTCGTCATCACACACAGGAATTAAACCATTTCTCAACAACATTACATCATTTCCAATTGCACTTTTGATTGGTTGATTATTTTGACCAAAAAAATTGTGAAGTGCGCAAAATGCATTTCTGTTTGAACGTCCATTTTCATAAATAGGCTTCGATAACTTTAACACATTGTTTGTTTGTTAATCTTTCCATGATTGAAATTGCCAAAGACTTAAGTTGTTAAATCTGAAAGAAAAAGAAAAAAATCAATAGATGCTTAAACTTAATTCACATTTAAAATTGGTCCAAGTCATTGGAACACCCTAAGCATCTACTTCAGAAGGAAGACAGAAAGAGTCTCTTACATCCATGTATGAATGTAGAATTCATTTTTGGGGAAATCCCCAAAACCACACACCCAGTTGCTGAAATTAATTGACAAAGTCTGAAGTTAAATTAACAATAATATTACATATGAGAGATTCAGTATTGTATTTTTATAAATCTGCATGCAATAAGATTACAAGTATATTTACCACTTTTGTTTTCTGTTGGGAATATTTGACTGGTTTGCTCTAACAGAAGAAAAAAGAACCCCAACTTCTTTTGGATTTTTGAAAATGTGATAAAAAGCCAAAAAAAAAAGCAATGAGATCAAAAGTCTGAACAATTTTCAGAATGGGAATGAAACAGCAAGAAAGGAAAGAGACAAAAGTTAAAGTAAGCTATAGAAAGAAAACAAAAGAGAGTTAAAAGGTGAAACAAGAAAATGAGAAATGAAAAAGAAAGTGAGGTAAAAGAAAAAGGGGAACCAAGAAAATGAGAAAGAGTGATAACAGTTAAGAGGAAATAAGAAAAAGAAAGAAAAAGAGGGAAAGAGGAAACAATAAAAAGAGAAAAAAGACAAGAGAGGAAACAAGAAAATTAGAAAAGAAAGAAAAAGAGCAATAAAAGAGAAAAAAGAAAAGACACTACAATATACTGAGAAAAGGAAAAAGTGAGGTAAAAAGGAAAAAAGAAAACTAGAAAAGAAAGAGAAAAAGAAAACAATAAAATAAAAACACAAAGAGAGATAAAAGAAGCAAGCAAGAAAATAGGAAAAGAAAGAGAAAAAGAAAACAATAGAATGAGAAAAAAAGAAAGGTAAAAAGTAAGCAAGAAAATAAGAAAAGAAAGAGAAAAATCAAGAAAATGAGAGAAGGAAAAGAAAGAGAGGTAAGAAATAAAAGAGGAAACAAACATCAGAAAAGAAAAAGAGAGGTTAAAAGAAAGCAACAAAAAATGAGAAAACTAAAAAATTACAGTGTGAATTAAATAAATATAAGATCAAAGAAATCATAATTTTCAGATTTCAATTTCAGATGAATTCTCATTATTTATTTATTATAGTGAGAACTAAATATCCTGAGTGATTATGATCAGTATTAATTTTTAATTATCAATCTTTTTTATTTATTATTGTATTCTTTTTACTTTTCTGCATTTACAAGTTCACATCATGTGTCTGGCATTTATCACTTAGGATTGACAGACAGCAAATCGCCTCAAATCTCTTCAACATTCTTACTGATCCCTGCACTGCAAGGACTGGATTGTCAGGGCCTAATGTGTACTACCCAAGACTCGTCCCTTATCCAGGGACCCAAGTCTAACTGGGAGACCTGGGCAGTGCTTTGTAGACTATCTTATTAACATTTACTTTTTTCTACCTGTTTCTATAGGTTACAAATTAAACTAAGCACAACTGACGATAAATCTTTGCAAATTTTGACATCATTCTGGGTTCTTTTCTCAGAAAATCACTAAATAAAATTCACTATTTTTTATCTATAATGTTGAATGTGTTAAAATTATTCAACTTTTTAACAAGAAAAATCTCAAGTTGATATTAAAAACTGACCCAAAACATAGTTGATTTATTTAAGATGGAATGACATGTCTCTCATTTATATTTAGTTATATTGTATTTATTTTCAGTTTTTCTAATTGAATTGTTTGCCTATATTATATATGATCCATTATTATACATAATTAGATTACAATAAAATTTGTATTTTACATGAATACTACCTCATGAAAATTGAGATGAGGGGGCTCTGTATCATAGATTTGATGGGGGCTCACAAGATTCTTACATCAGCCTTGAGCAGGATTCACAGAGAAGTGTGGGTAGTGGATGTGGCTGGATGAGTTGGACCCTCCTGGAAGCATGTTGCAGATTCTCTTCATGTTGGCAGTTGGACTCAAACGTCTTGGTCATCCACCAGATGGTCCTCTACCAGGAAGGCCAATTTGCAGCAATGTTCTCCCAGGTTTCAGTGCCAATGTTGGCCTGTGTCAGGGATTGTCTTCAACTGGTCCTTGAAACATTGTTATGGGTCTTCCCATAGCCTCTTGCCACTGGCAATTTCTCCATACAGGAAGGTACATGGGAGTCAAATGGGACTTAAATATGAAAGACAGCAGGAAAACAAACACAAGGATTAGATCAATAAAGAGGAAAAGAAATTCAAGCAGAAGTTTTTTTTTTCTTAAAACAAAGAGAAACACATGGAGAACAAAGATCATCATGGATAAAAGTGGAGTAGAGGAGAATGATTATGAAATCAAGAGAGGTTATAATAAAAAGTACAAGAGAAAAATAAAGTTTTAAGTGGTGCAAAAACATAAAAGAACTTTGAAACAACACAATGTACAGGAAAAAAATAAAACTCTGGTTCTTCACTCTATGCTTTCTCATTCCAACATATATTTCTTATTAAATGTTATTTGAATCAGCATCTTAGTTGTTATGCAAACAACATTTTGATCATTATAGTCTCCACCCTTAACCTGGTGTCTATTGTACTCAGTAACCTTGGAATTTTTAACTGAACATTTTATTCCCTCTACAGAGGTAGGTTGTTATGAAAACTCTTATTTTCTCATGGATTGAGGCAATGGTTAAAGGATAGCTCATTTTCTGGCAGGTATGTATTTAATCCCTGAACTGTGGAGTGTGGAAAAATCATATACTTTAACAAGATAAAAAATCAAATTCAAATATTAAAAACTGCCAAAAATGAAACACCAGAGGAAGCCAAGATTTATCGTGACTGAAAATAAATTTACTCCTTAAAGATGGCCAAAGTGGCTGAAAAAAGTATTTGGAGAAATAATTTAAAAAGTATATCTATCATCTGAAACCATCAATAATTTTTATTGATGGTTCCAGATGATAGATATATTTTTTAAAATTATTTCTGTTTTTTAAATTATTTCCTGTAAGAAAAGAAAATTTAAGTGAAAAACTTCAAAAGTTCTTTGCTCATATTTGTAATTTACAAACAAAAAATCTGAAACGAAAGCTTTCACTAATCTTCACTCATGAACACACATATATATATATATATATATATATATAAACTGATGGCTTGAAGATTGCATTTAAGCAAGAAACGGGCTGCTACCACTTCATTTTGATCTCAGTATTCACACACACACACATATATATATATATATAGAGAGAGAGAGAGAGAGGCTGTCTATTGTGACAGCTAGCTAATCCCTGCTGCAAATGCCTGCTCAGACACATATGTGTTTTTTCAACACTCACAGCTCACCTGTGGTTTATACTGCAAAAATGCTGATCAGAACTTAGTTACAGTTTCTGGGAGAGAATGCATGTTATCTAGCGGGGTCAACAGCCTGGACAAGACCAGTGCACTCAAGCTCTCATTCACGATGACTTGTGACTGATAACGACAAACCAATCTTGTCGAATATGAATAAAGACAAAAGGATAACTTTTCTTTACCAACATATTTTGTCGTTTGATGGACTTTATCAAGGTAAATGTAAGGGATTTGTTTTGCAACATGTTTTCATAAACATTAAGTAAAAATATTCTCAGGTTTTAAAATTTTTAAATTTAAGAAACCTAAAATATATTTCCTAATGCTGACTGTGAAAGTCAAGGTAAACTATGGAGAATGCTAATTGATGTAATTTAATGCCTAATGAACAAAATGGAGTAAATGTTATTGTAGTGGTTGATTGTTTTTATTTGTTTTTTTAATGTAATTATTATATATTAAGTTGATAAATTATTCATGTATTTATTTATTTTAAATAAAATAAGGTTTTGGTTTGACTGTCTTTTTTTAAGTTTTTATGGCTATGTATGTTGGCTTGGGAAATATACATACATACATATATAAATATATATATATATATAGATATATATATATATATATAGTTTATACAAATTTAGGTAATCCGTATGGGTAGACCTGAGGAGGATGATATCCAGAGAGCTCAATGTGAAATTCAGAGCAGATATGTTTGAATAAAAGACAGGCCACGTTAAGATTCCATGTAATAAGCTATTTCACCATAACCCCTTTAACAGGGTTCTGGATCATCAGAGCTTACTTCCAAAAGCTGAAATGAAAATTTTTCATTTCAGCTTTTTAAATTTCTGATTATTCAAACAAATATATATATATATATATATATATATATATATATATATATATATATATATATATATATATATATATATATATATATGCTTATACATATATATGTGTGTGTCTGTATGTACTTTTTATATGTAAATATATGTCAGTATATCTCATATAAGTATCTCTTTCACACAAGAAGAAAGTACATTTTGGTTTTTGTCCTTACTTATAAATTCAAAGTGAATGGGAACAGTATAGAATATCTGGAAATCTTTATGCAGAGGGGTGGGCCAAAAATTATGTGGGGGGTAGGGTTTTTGTTCTCTCTGGGCCTCAAAACACAGTTTCAATTATCATAAACCAAAAACATTTTCGCCATGAAAAGCAAAAATTGATTGACCATTACAATTTTGGTTTGATTGTTGATTGGAAGAAGAGAGAAAAAAGTGCCCTAGGGCTGCCCATAGGCCATTTACCAACTACCACCAATCAGAATTCATATCTTCCTCTTTCTGTTTCTCTTTTTCTTTCCTTGATATTATTTCTTATCCTCACCATCGTTTAGCCACAGTCCAGTCTTTTCTCCTTTAATATGCCTTCTATACTCCAGCCCAACACCTTCAAATATAACATTTGGATGAACATTGACAAAGGCTTGAAATCCAACACCTTCCAAGCACTGACACACTAGTGAGTTACATGCCATTGAAATTGCGCAAAATGTAGTCAGGTGGGCAGGGTTAGGGTTAGTCTTGAAGTTAAGGCTTCAATGTAGTCGGCAGTGGTGGGGATTTCTTAACAGGGATGAAGGAGGTTTCTGCATTGGAAACTGCCTGAAAGATGTACTGATGTTGGATGGATGGTTTTGCATTTGACAAAAAGATTTTGTTTGCTCTCATTGGTCAATATGCTAGCAGAGAATGTGAAATTGATCTCAGATTGCTTATGTGGGGGAGCTGAGTAGGTAGTGGTGTAGAAAAGAAAGAGAAAGGAGATGATGCAGATATGTGTACTTTTAAGACGGTGGTGTCTGTAGGTGGAAATGGAGGGTTGAAATGTAAGGTGTGGAGAGTGGATGTGAGACAGGAAAGATTAAAATGGGACAGACTTCTTTTTCTTGAGCTTAATTTATTGGAGAAGTCCATCTTGCTACATTGTTGGTCAGTGAATCTAACGCCACGAAGGAATTGTCAAAGCTGAGCCATTCAACTTGAAATAGAAAATTACAAAGATTATCAGACAAGAAAAAAAAACCATCTTCTGTCCACTAGCTTGATACTGTTCCACAAGTGAATTTAGATTTCATGATGGGATCAGAGATGGTGGTGTTTGGGGTTATGCTTCAAATTGTTATGATGATAGTCATTCAGGAGTGGTGATGTAGAGGTCATGATGTTGTGGATAGTAACATAGATGGTTGTGGTGTTAACAATGATACTTGTCTCATTGTAGTAATGATATTAGCTCGGGTTTTAGTAATGATAATCTTCCTGATGGTGGAAATACTTGGAGCAAAAATGGTGGCATAACTATTGGTGACTGATAATTCTGGCAAAAATCATAGCAGGAAACATATTAGTCGTGATGGTTGAGGTTTTACACAAAATAGACAAGTTTATATTGGTGATGGCATAATAAAATAAATAACGTAGCCAAGCTATGTCTACAGATTCAAACCATCCTCATTTCCTCCATATTCCATTTGCAAGGAAGAAGTTTTAGCCAGACAGTTTTTTTCTCAAGAATTCCTATCTTGGAGAACGAGCACCCACATGGAAGTTTCCCTGAACAATACAA